AAAGGAATAACTTAGGAGCTCTTAGGCAACAGTCAGCATTGCAAAATCTGAAGTCTGCCAGAAGACCCCATGGGCTTTGTGTGCTTTCAACCTTATTTACTCTCTTGCTTTGAGTCTTTGGCGTGGAAGCTCCTTCTAGGTCTGTGCTGAAACATGGCAATCCTACAGGGGTTGGAGGAATTTGCTGGAGTGTGATTTCCCCAGAAAGCAAACAAAGTGAGCTATATTTGCCCATCTCTGATTATCTCCCTATTATTATTTTACTGTTACATAAGTAAAAACTGAAAGGGGGTCACTGTGTGTGAATATGGCACCACTACAGCTCCATCATCAGGGAGCTTCCCTGACAGCTCTCCAGGCACCTTTTGGGGCAGCCTGAACCCCGACCTTCCTGCTCAGTGGGAGTGGGGTCACAGGATGCTCAAAGCTTCCCTCCTCTCTGCTTTGGCATTTTCCAGCCCAGCAAGGGCTCAGCAATAAAGGGTGAATTGTTCCATGGTCCCTCACAGCCAAAGGAGGCACCTTGAAAGGAGTGAGAAGAACCAAGCCTGATTTTGTCTCATCTCCTTGATGTCTATTTCAGACTAAATTTGCAAAGTACATTGGCTCATGCTTCACTTTAAGAGGGTGAACCATGTCTATGCCATCAAGGCATCTTCTAACATTGGCAGTGAAGAGCTATCACATCAAAAGCCTATCCTTGTTTAAAATCATTACTTACTGATGAAAGACTGACACTCCCAAGCACAGGCCAGCCTGATTTGTCTGCAAATAACAGTTGTGTGGTCAAATAAACCTGAGCCAGTTCTGTGCATTTTGTCATCATCAGAAATTGAAAGTTTGGTTATTTGTATTTTTAAGGGTAACTGGCAATTGAAATAATCCCACTGAAATATAAATGAGGCTCAAAGACAGTGAGAACATCATAAACTAAGTCAAAAAGAAACACTGCAGAGGTTCCAATCAGCCACCCCAAAGTTATAAAACATTATTCATGTAGAAAGCAGATAGTTCAACTAGCATGGAAAGGCTATTTTTCCTCTTAATGCAGTGACAGATTTTGCATGAAATCTCATGTTCAAGACTGATTTAAATCTCCCACAAAACAGTGAGGTCAGGCTATAACAGCTATTGATAGTAAAATCTGAAAACAGGTCAGGCATTTGACAATATTTGTCTCTTTTGCCTCATTTCCCAAATTCTGAACTATTTTCCTGGCAGTTCAAATTAAGGAACATTTCAAGCACTTCTGAAACTGCTTTAGAAGAGCAATAATAATAATTAAAATAACCCCAAAGGGATTGCTTTGCAAAAGCATGATTGTTTTCTTCTTTTTTTTAAATAACAATCTGACACAGAGATGAAATCTACCCCCCATGCATGAACGCTTGAAACATGCCTTGGGTAACTCTGCAATTGAAATCAGGCAAGGATGGCACAATTTCCCCCCAAAAGGCAAATGTCAAAGATTCTGGAGTTGCATGGCAGCTTCCAGAGCTGTGCATTGTCCTTCCACAGAGGCTCATATTAAAGAAAAAAAACCTCCTTTCTCCCAGTTTTCCCTTTTTTCTTTGTGACTCTAGTCTAAGTTTTATTTTGACATTAGCAAGGCTCTTTCTATTGACTTTCTCCCTGGTGAAGGCACTGAGAACAGGTGATTAATGGTGATACACCACCAGAGCAGTAAATGGTTTCCAGTAAGTTTCATATTCCTTCGCATTGTCAAGACCAACACTTTTTCTAAACAACAACAACAAAAAGGAACAATTAAAAAACCCCAAACCCTCGAGAGATTCCCTTTAAAGATAAGAAATCAAGAACAAGACAGCGCTGAGATGTTATTTATATCCTGCCTTCCATGTCAATTAGGATTCATTGCTGCTCCCTGCTCAGAGAATACCAATGCAACCTGTGCCTCCTCATGGACACTGCCTATGGCTGGGGGGGAGGTGCTATTCCTTTTTTTCACTGTGTACACCAGAACAAAATAAGAAGTGCTCGGAAGAAATGCTTGGAATCAGCCAAAGGGCCAAGCTCACATTGGGCAGCTCCTGCATTTTCCTGTGCATGGTTACTTATGAGTACTTATGAGGTTGAGGAAACCTCCAGTCCATCCTCGTAGTAAAGCTCCCTTGGAGAAACACCAAATCTCCATAATCTGTTCAAAATTTTCCCAGTTCTGGGAAACTTCAGAAAACATCAGCATTTGTATCCCATCACGGGCTCAGAAGGGTAGGGGCAGGTGCCTCTCCAAACGGTTTTGAGAAGTTGCAAAAATAAGGGAGAAAAGGCAAAACTTGGTTGAAAGTTGGACTTGATGATTTTGGAGGTCTTTTCCAACTTAATGATTCTAAGATTCTATGAAAGGATGGGGCAGGAGCTGTTTCTTTCCAGGGCTGATTACACCACTAGGTAAGGACTGGCACTACATGCTGTTTGGTGACCACTTTGCTGCCTTTAAGTTTATTATCTGAAGCAGTTAATGGGCTCTGTAAAACTAAAACTGGAACTGCAAGGAAGCTGCTGGAGCCCCCTCAGCTGTTCCTACATTTCTGGCTGGGATGTTTCCATCTGGTACCACTGTGTGACCAGCCTGGCTTTGCCTCCTGCTGCTTCCCATCACACTTCCCTGTGTACTGGGAAGCAGCTGGGAAAGAGCACAGCTTCCTCTGGCCTCCTGCACTCGTGGCTGGGTTACACAGGATTATAAACACAATTTCCCAGCACTGCTGAGATTGGGGAAATGAAGATAAACTTGTGTGTCCGGTTCCTGTCAGGCTGAGGTACCACATGCAGAGGCTAAAAATGGAAAAAAACAGAATGAAAGGAATAATTTTGGTGTCTGGTCTGAACTGCCTCTGACAAAAACTTCTGTGCATTTGAAGGCTGACACAGCACACACTTGGCAGTGCATGGGAGGGCTTCTCCTGCTCAGAATCCCCTCGTCCTCCTACCACCCACCAGCCTTGGGGCCACTCATTGCCCACACTGCAGGAGAGTTGGAGTCACTCCCTAAACCACTGGAGCAGCAGCTTTATCTCCAGTTTCAGTCTCAGGAGCTGTTTTTGATGGGAACTGATCCTGGTCACACAGAAAAGCATCATCTCCCACAGAAGTCTTGATCTCAGCACTGCTCGTGGCTTGATGAAAGAACAAAGACCTGGAGCTCAGTGAAAGGACAGGGATGTGAGATGGAGCTGGGGTAATGGGGCAGGAAAGAGGGAATTACCACTACTCCCTAACTCTTCCAGGCACGGGGCTCAGGCTGGAGCAGCGCAGCAGGGCTCTGTCTCTTGGAAGAGACCCAAATCCGCCCTACCCAAGACCTGCTCAGTATTTGCATAGGTCCCAGCCAAACACAAGGCAGCACAAAGCAATAAATTAACTCTACAGAAGCATTTCTCCTTTCCCCCTTTCATCCAGCATGCACCAACCTTCCCTCTACCTCTTTTTCTTTGTTTTGTTTTGCAACCCCAGGTTGCAACCCAAACACCGTGACCCTCCGGCAGCGCTGCCCGGCCTCGGCATCCAGCATCACGCCACGCCTGAGAGCACAGGAGCCGTGACCCCGGGCTGGGGAAGGGTCCCTGCTTACCGCCTGCCACTCTCCAGCTGCCCAGCGGTGCGTGGGGCACGCGGGGAGGTGACAGTCCCGCTGTGGGGGTGGCCGGCTGGCGGGGTCACACTCGGCCTCCTCGGCTGCCTTCGGGGTGCACTGCACGGAGCGGCGCTGGACACCCCGGCCGCAGGACACGGAGCACTGCAGGAAGGGACAGAAGGTGAGTGGAGCTCCCATCACAGCCAGCACGGTGAGTTCAGGGGGTTCAGTCTCTGCTCTGGGCTCCACGGCATCGATAGCGATGCTCTATCAAACCTCCAAGTGAGGCTTTTCATTGCACAAGGGAACATTGGGAATCTGAAGCCAGTGCGAATATTTGCCGTTGGTTTGTTTCAGTGGGGTCAGGACTTCCTGGACAGGATTTTTATTGAAAAATCTGTTTTTATTGCAAAATAGCGGTGCTGCTAAACCACCCTGACATTCCAGAGGCGGCCAGGCTCTAAGTATTGCTCTGAGTATTGCTTCTCAGGCACTGGTTCAAAAAAGTAATAGTTCAGAATACATCAAATGCCACAAACAGAGTGGGCTTTAATGAAAAGCAAACTTGGATTCTATAGAAGAAAGTGTGTAGCTGTAGAGAGGGAAAGGTGTGATACAGCTGGGATTTCTTTCAGCATGCATCTAAACATGCACATGCACCAAGGCAGGGAATACAGTTAGTTTTTGAAAACAAATGTCTTTTGGAAATTAACTGCATTTCACATTTCCTTCATTACACTGTGGGCAAATTTCTCCCAACTTCAAGGCAAAGTAACAAATGCCTGAATTTTTCTGTTTCTCAGACATCTTTAAATTATTATCTACACTGCAATATTATTAACAGCTTATTTTTTCTTTCACGCAACATTTCTTAGTGTTGTGACTGCACACTAACATGTTTAGCAGTACTTAATATTCCCCTGGAACAGATTCCTCCTGGCTAGACCTTAAAGTATACTATACAGATTTGGAGTAAAGAGAATTTGCATTTGTAGAAGAAAGTGCATAAAAAATAAAGGTATGTATTAGAACCACAACTGAATTAACAACTAATATTGGTTATTTATAACAACTAATATTACTTATTAATATATCAGGAACTAAGAAAATAAGTTCACAGCCTTATGAACTTATTTTCATATGAACTATGAAAATAAGTTCATAAACAAGTTATTGCAATGCCCACTAAAACGAGCCTTCTTAAGTCAGAGAATTAAGTGGTGCCTAATGGGGAAGCAATTCCCTTTTCTGTATTCCTTCATAATGCTCTTTGCTTTACTATCCAAATGCCCCATAAAGCCAAGAAAACCAGAGAAAAGCTGACTGTGACTATTTGTCTGGCTTCAGATATTCGTAGGAGGGTGGGAGCATTTTTGTGTAGCTTTTGAAAGCAGCAGTGGGATTTCTGTCACTAGTGATGCAAATGCTTCCCATATGCTGCTGCTTCCCTGAGATTAACAGTGGTCTTTATCCTACACATTCCAGAGGGGACTCTTAAACTGAACAAAGGCACAAACTTGGAGAAACATATACACCAGGATGCCTACCATGCTCTAAGATATCTTTCGAGTTGCATTTATCACCAACATTAAAAGCCCAGGTATGGATGAAAGAGCACAAGTGACACTGTGGCTTTTTCATGGGGGGCTGCAGTGTGTGTGACACCTGGGTTTGGGAAGAGGATGGTCCCCGGACTGTGCCAGAAACTCCACCTGATGCTCTGCCTTTGTTTTTATATAGGGCTGGATTTCAGCCTTTAGCTGTAGTATGCAAATATCAGAGAGCAGAATAAATATTGGTGTTTTTTGTTAAATGAAAGGTAAATGGCCATAATTGACACTACTTAGGTGAAACAAAGACATTAAATCTGATATTTCAGTGCAGACATAAACACACTTAAGACTTGGAGAAAAAGCCTTTTTAGAGATATATCAAAAATGCTGTGCTCCATGGAAGTGGGTTCTTGATACAGAAAAGAAATAACCACCCTCTGAATACAAAACATCCAAAGAGAAAAAACCTAAGATTGGAGCATCAGCACAGCCAGTGTCCAACTGAGACTGATTTTTAACCATTCCTGTATTTTTTGATCTTCACTTTCTCAGTAAATCCTTTTCCAGAAGGCAAAAAACCCCAACACCTAAAGGTATGTGAATGGGTTCTGTGCATATATAAGGATCCACTTTTATGGGAAAATATCGCCTTATTTCTCATGCAGACTTTTACTGGTTTATTCAGCAGAAAAAACACAGCAACTCAGCTTTGGGATTAACTTTCTGAGACAATTAGACCTTCAGAAAGTTAGGGATTTTTATGGATAATATCTAAGTGAAAACTGATCATGGTTCCTATTTGCAACAGTGGCACTGGAGATAGGGAAAGTCACATGGAGTTTTCATGCCCAATTTATACCCTGAACTGCTGTGTATTCAGAGCACCAAACTCGTGTATGTTTCATGCTCTTAATGAGATATTCAGCATCTAAATCCAGCTTGGCTCCATGGCATTAGATCTCTGATCCCCCTTACAAGAGACCCAGAACCAGCACTTCCAACCTGTGACAGCCCCAACTCTTCATCTGTCACAGGCAAAAAAAATGCTGCCAGCAGCAGTGAGCCTCAGAGATCCATGTCACAGCATCTGACAGGGCTTTAAAAAGCCCAGTTTGACGTTGTAGCATAAGTGTTTCTACCCCTTTACTTTTTCCCCAAGCAAGATCCTGGCTGGCTGAGCACAGCCTGCATCAGGAACCTGGGCTGAGGAGCTACTCCAAAAAGCCTTTCTTAGCCTTATCATCAGCACACAAATATTCTGTAATGAGAGATCACCTTAGATCATAAATCACCTCATCCTCCTATTAACTTGGGTTTCTTTCTCTAGTTGCATAAAATTAATATCCATGATGCAGTGGAAAGCTGGGAATTTTAAACCACTTACTTTTACCAATTAGTATTAGTGTATTTTAATGCAATTGATAGATCATTACATTATTATGTTTACAATTATTAGTAAAAACTGCTTTCAGGAGCAGTCATTAAATAAGGTGCAAATTGGATACCACAAGACTGTCTAATGGCCTTGCATTTCATTTTAGTCTGGCTTCTGTATAAAACTGAGATTTCAGTCCTGAATATTGACTTGATCTCCAGTATGGGAGAGGTACTGTGGATTTCACAGGCTGGATGCTCCTGTCCTCAGGTAAGGAGCCCAGACCTCAGTAACTGAACCTCACTGGTCAACGAGCAATTAGTCCCTCACCCACATAATGGCAAATACTCCTATCCTGCCAATCCAAAGGTAAGGATTAAAAAAAGCTAATACAAGTCTGAAAACAATCATATATCATTAATGGGTTGATTGCCTTTTTTATTAGTGGACATTAATAACAGCATGCTGTCCTAGTCCTAACATTTGCATGTGTGCCTGTAGCAATGTGAATAGTTGTGAATAGTTGTATTTCAGGGAGCTGAAATGCAGCAAGAATGGGTGTTTTGTACCTAAATTTGGAAGACAGAATGCAAGGGAACACGATGTTTTACAAGTTAACAGTTCGTTTAGTCTGGGATTTTCAATAATTCCTCTGATTAGCACAGAAATGAGGTAGAGGGAAAAGCAAGGTTCAGAGTTAAAAATGTGATGCAGCAGATTCAAGGTGATGACAAAGACATTATTTTCAGGAAAACAAGAATTCAAGGTATGCTTTCAGCATAATAACTCAAAATATTTTTCATTTCCAGCAGGCTCTGCTCTATGCATCACTGTCTGACTTTTTAACAAGGGAAAAACAAACAATGAGTTTATTTCTCAAAACTAAGGAAGATTTTGAGTTATGATATTTAAATTATATTAAAAACATGAATAAATAATATATTCTCTTTAATATTATACACTAATGACGTTTCTAGCAAAACCCTAAAATATACAACAAGGAATTTGCTTGCAGATAGACACTAAAAGCAAGCTGCCTAGTTTTCAGCTGGTACAAATCTGTGCTGCTCCACTCCTGTCCGTGAAGCTGCAGTGGACACCAGAAGCTGGCCCAAAACATTTACCCTGAATAATTCATGAGGACAGAAGTGATTGGAAAACCAGGCTCTAACCAATTTGAGGGAGGAAGAATACCAAAAGGTGCAAAAGGGTACACAACATGTCTCACCTGGCCCCAATCTCCTGCTTTCCACTTCGGACATCTGCCCCCTCTGCATTTCTTTTGCACGTTGGGCTTAGCAAGGTGTTTACAATTCTCTTCTTCTACATGCCTCCCTTCCTTTGACAAACAGTACACACTGCGGTGCTTTTGGCCCCTTCCACAGGAGACAGAACACTGTAAATATAAAGTAATAACAGATCAGCTTTCACACTCATACAAGGGCCATGGCTACCCAGGGCATTTTTTTGTAGCTTGACCAAAAAGCACCTCCCCAGGTCCCCAGCAGGCTACACAAAGCTTGAGGGGAGTGCAGACACTTAATATTGTGTGATATTCTTGGTCAAAGCCCTAAAAAATGCCAGTATCAAAATAGAGAAAACAGCTGACATTCAGCAGGGATAACAGCCTGGATTCCTGGCGTTGCTCAAGTCCTTTCAAAGGAGCAGAGTCATCTTACAGGGATCAAGGCAGGAGCCCTCAGTATCTACTTAGAAGAACTTGAAAGGAACCATTTCCATTTACCTTGGTACAAAGGGATGTCAAATATTGGTAAATCAGGAGGGTAAAGTGTGCTCTGCACCTTCACAGAGGGAAATAACTGCACAAAGGACAAGGCAGAAAAGTGCAGCATTTCCTTGTCCTTGGTACAAAAGCTCGTGTTTGTTTCATCAGTGTAGTCTGACTTTTCTTTTTTACTTCACTAAACAGACTGAAACCAGGACATGTTCATCCTTAAGATTTATGCATTTTGAAAACAACTCAGAAGGTGGCAAGAAGGCAGAGCCTGGAGAATCAAAGCAAAAAGCAAACCAGCAGGTATGTTAGCTGCAAGCTTTGTAGTGAAGCAACTAATTTCAACCTCCCTCTGCAGGTTCACTGAACTTTTTCAAATGTGACCACTTCTGGCATGCAAACCCCAAGCAACTTCACTTTGATTTCAGATTAGTCTCCTCTAAAGATTTAGGAATCAAAGGGGTTTGGAATCACGACACGAATTTAATATGACAGTTTCATGTAGAACAAGCCTCTTACTCAGCATGATGCACCCAGAGACTCAGCTTCCATTTCTTCATTACATGCTACCCCATAAGCATACTGGTTTAATCCTTGAGGGCAAACACACTGTTTTAACCACCTCTCCATAAAAAATGTTCTGCTTTCTTTTCAGAATGGAGAAAACATGCAGAAATGAGGCTTCGACCTTCATTTTGGAGCCACTCCATCAGCATATTTCCCAAGAAATACATTACAGACTAAGCTCTTCCCAGCCTATAAATAACCCCAAAAAATTTATATATATAGCAGCTCTGGAAGATCCACTAGAATAGAAATTGGCATATACATTGACACCTGTGAATATTTTATATTACAGCCCTACTTACAGCTCATTCAGCTCACAAAGAACCAGCCAGAGAGCAGTTTCTAAATGGAAAAGTTCAGACCAACGTGGAGAGAAATGGATGTAGCTCCTAAAACCAGACACTGATGCTTAAAAGCTTGTATAAATGATTCCCTGAAAAAGGTTGTTTTCCTGCTGCAAGAGCGTTACAGCTCAACAAAAGATCTCTGAGGTCCTGTTAATCAGCTTTAAGAGCCATTAATGATGCTCCTCTGAGAGGCTGAGCAGGGATAGCTGCCTCTCAGTTTTCCTGAGCCCAGATCAAATTCGAAGATAGGCCAAAAAACCCAACAAGCAACATCCAGCCTTGCACTGAAAAACAGAAGAAATGCTGTCCCTTGCAATAAAATAAAACTTCCACAAGTTACCCAGTTCCATAAACTTCATTTCTTTTCTTTAGCATCAACAGAAGAAAGATCAAGCTAATGTTACCCTATTTTTATATGCCTTCAAATTTCAACAGAAGTTAATTTTTTCATTCTCTCTACTTCTCTCCCCAGGCAACGAAAGTCAGCAGCAAGACAGAAATGTCACATCCTAAAAAACCCAGTTCTAAACTTCTAGTATTTTCATCCACTTACTGTCTTGGGATTAAACACCAACACTGATGCTTAAACAAAAATTCAAGTAAATATTGGTAAACAGTCTTCATGCAGGTTATGCCACTTTGCTGTGACAGCCAAAGTTAAAGAGTAAATTTACAGCATTGATCAGGACTCTCTCATGTCCCACATCCTGAGCTGATACAGCCTAGAATATTCTTAATTTAAAAAATATATGTGATCCCACTACTTACCCTAGAGTAAAACTAACCACACTGTGCAACAATGCAAGCACCTTTCTAGGGACCTGAAGCTGGTTGATAAACACTTGATCTCACAAACAATTTGGTCCTAGTTATTTCCAAAATTATTACTCCCTGTCCACAAAATGCTTCACTTTGGCATGGAGCCTGATTCTGACATTTATCTTGTGATCCCATGATCAAACGAGTCTGCGTGCAAACCTCGGTGCACTCAGAGGTTGAGGCATAATTTGGTTAATTTTTTTAATACTTAAATGTAATTCCCAAGATGCTGGAATGAATCATTTCTATGTCTGCCTTTAATATAAATCATATTTAGGCAGCTGTGCATTTTCAGATCTAAACCACCCGTTTGCTTTCATGCACATTTGAGTTATGATCTCATTTGTACTGACAGAAAAGAAAGGTTGAATAATCTAATTTAATCAAGTATCAGAGACTGAAAATTCCTTTGCAAAGAGTCTACTTAATAACTGCCATCTAAGTCATCTCAGGTATTCAACTTTTATCTGGCACATAGATTTTAAGCATATGTGAGCCATATGCAAAGCAGAATTTGATAGTGGGCTGCATCTCAGCTCCATGTGAGTCCGGGAAGTGCTACACCCAACTACCACCATCAGCCTCATCATTTGTTTTGGACCCTGGATAAACTTTGCATTGTATTAACAGGATTCTTCGTGGCTGCAAATGCTGCCTGCTTATGGTACCTACCAATAACAGTACCACAATGAGGTAAGCTTGTACCTTGCCTTCCTCAAAACATTTGGCAAAATCACTGTCTTCACATTCCTCTTTTTCTTGAATTTCTCTCCCACATCCCCCATAGAAAATGCTTCCAAGTACTGGGGGCAGATGGTGGCTCTCTGGAATAACAGCCTCACCTTATCCAAGGTTTTCTGAGTCAAGAGAAAAGCCTCTACCGGTTTTAATCACCTGTAGGCCAGCCCTGAAGGTGTAGCCAGGTACTGTATGGAATTTTTTCACTAATCAGCTTCCTAGAGTCAAGGATCACATGCACTTGGGCATGCCTATGGTCAACTTGCCTCTGTCTCTACTTAGGTGTGGGAAAACGCTGCCCTGAAAGGCTGTTTACAGCCTGTGATTGAGGCATAACAGCAAATAGCACCCCTGGATGAACCTGGGAGGACAGCCAGGCATGGAGGAGGGTGTGAAAACAATAAATTGTTGTTTCTGTAAAAAAAACCCACCAAAGTTTGCGGTGCATAAAATAATAGAGAAACAGTATTTTGAAAAATCAGCTATAGCCACCACTCTAAAACTCTAGCAAACCTTCCCCTTGTTATTATCTTTATTATCTCCTAAACCCACCACAGTTGCACCTGGCACTTTACACGGAGAACAATAACAAAAGAATTTTCCTAAGAGCATTAGGGTCAAAGCACTTAGCACAGATTTAAGGGCTTTATGTTTACTGCATGATTAGTGTTGTTAACATGCCAAGAACTGGAGACTGGCATGCTGCTGATATTTTCAAATAAATATACTGCCTAGTTAAAATAAATGCAAGGAAAAAGGTTTAAATAAATACGGCAGAAATATTTCCATATCAACTGTTTTCATGAAGGTCAGAACACGATGCTAAACATCTGCAATGCTCTGCTCTGCTTGTGTTTTTGTTTCCACAAAAAATTTGTTTTCTGTTTCAGAGTTTAGGAGATTCTCATTCTGTTTTACAAGTGCAAATTGCTTTAAAATAAGCCTTTCTGCATTTCCTCATCTCATCGTTTGAGACATGAGGGTACATCTTGTTCATTAAGACTCCCTAAAACAGAAAGGCTGCTACTTGATGCATAGGGCTAGGAGGGAAAAAAAACCCAAACAACAGAATATGTTTAAAATATCTTAAAAATTTGTACAAAATTTCTGATGAATTTCTGGGAGTGGAGTCAGTCTGGCACCGAGAGGACTCAAGAGCTCTGGGCACAAATTAACAAATCTTAGCAAGAAAAAGGCACCACAGAGCAGTCAAGAAGTGGAATGACTGCTTCTTGTAAACTTTGTGCATTGAAGGGGCAGTTCCACAAAGGGCAGAAGGGCACATCCCAATCAAAAACCTGGGAACACTCTCTCCCAGAAGTGAAAAGTTGAAGAAAATGCTGTCAGACCACTTCTCAGACCCACCGTGCATCAGCCGACAACAACGATTTGGGAGGTATTTAAGACAATGAATGCAAGCTGTGGTGATCGCCCAATGAATTCCCAAAGATAGAATGATAGCTCAGCAAGGGAAGGGCTGGGAAGGATTAGACTAAAAATGACTTTATCAGATTCTGCCAGCAGCAACTTTTTGGAGGAAATTAAAATCAATCCTTGTAGATTTAGACTGCCCCACATTAAGGATTTTATAGAAAGTCAGCAGCTGTAAGTAAGCTCTGGTTCATCCTTTGCAACAATCTGAGACAAAAAAATGTGTTGGATGGAATAAAGCAGCAAAGCAACAGGGCCCTCCAATGCTTTACACCCATTTTCCAAAAATGCTGTGTTCCTGGATGCCAGCAAACTTCTCCAGCTACCTTTCAACAGCCTATTAGTCTGTATCACCTTTTCCTACCACTAACACTGCTGCTGTCAGATACTGAAACCATATCCTTGTCACTGCTGTACCTCTGAAGTCTCTTGAGCACAAAGGACATCAACAGACACATCACCAAGGAAAGCCTGGATCCTTCCTCACCAGCTGAACCTTTACCAGGAATCTCAAAATGATGGAACCTTTGTGAGCTGTTCAGCAACAGGGGCTCTGTGGCACCAAACCAAATCGGCTTCACAACAGCAAGGTACTTCAGCAGGTAATTCCCTTAGCTTCAGTGAGACAGGCTGAAAGCAAGGCTGCAGCACTTTAGGAGATGTTTAGGAAATATCTATTGCTGCTCTGAAGCCCTGTTTCTCTCATGGATGTGTTTTAGCATGGTCTTGTACCCATCTGCATCGGCATGGTGAGAAATCCCTAAAATTGGGTGGGGATACATGCAGGGCAGGAGTCACCCAGCTTGGCCTTCCTTTCCTCACAAACTAAGGAGCTAAGGTGCTGAGTGTGTATGGTCATGGTGGTTTTAGCTGGTGCATGGCCAAAAAGTACATGTGATTCTTGATTTAAAAGGGAAGAGGGGTCTCTACATTTAAGGGAGGGCAAATGGACCAGAGGCCTGAACAAAACACATCAAAGCACTGCAATGCAGTTTTGAAAGAGGCTTTAGAAATGTTTAATACAAATTAACTCCTCAGAGAAATGGGGTTATTGAAAAAAAAAGGCATGAACATTAGGGATTTTGGAATATATAGTCTGAATGTGTTTGTGAGCATTGTCCAGAGCCCCTGTGGAAGTGTTCTCTTAGAGCTGGAGGGCAGCTCCCAGTCTGAATAGGCTTTGCCCCAGCAACCCCAAGGAGCCCTCATTGCCCCAGGCTTGGGCAAGAGGGAACTTCCATGCTGGTCTGCTCTGTCTCTGCAGTGGCCACAGGGTCTCCATTCTCCAGAGACTCTGGTCTTGGCTTGGAGCAGAGTCACAGAGCTTCCCAAGTCATTACTGCAAAAGGGAGAAATCTTCTAAAAAAAAAAATATCACTAAATCTTCAGCTTCTCACCACTAAACTCAGCTGCAGGGACTGGTGAGTGGCCTTAGATGATGTCTTATCACACATTAAAAAAAAAAAAAAAAAAAGAAAAAAAAAAGAGGAAAATTTCTCAGAGAAAAGGGTCCAATTTGATGTGCTACTACAGGGGAACAAAGGGCTGGTGTGTCTGGAGCCCACTGCTCCAGCACAAATTGCCCAGAGGAAAGGATGCTCCTGGGTTCTTTAACTCCTGCAAGATTTAAGGCCCCAGTGCCAAAGTCTATACAATAATCTCCCCAAGTTGGGAAACTTCACAAGATATATTACAAGAAAGAGGTAACTGCAGCAGGAGAAGCCATGCATCTCCTCTTCTGCAGCATCCAGCCAGTAAGCAGCACCTTCTCCCCCTCTTTTCCCTGCCCTGTTGTTACACCACAAAAGACTTCACCAGGCACAGAAATGAGCAGGGCTGTGAGCACACAGAACTCTCCTAAAAGCTGTGTCCCTGCCCTGCTCCACACTATTTACTTTGAACAACAAAGAAAAGCCCCATGGAGCCACTGCAGGTTTCTCCAGGGAGGGAGGCAGGAGATGGCAATTCCTCAAATTAGGAGGGGATGTGTGAGCTACCTAAGGGCACCAATACAGTGGGATGTGGAAGGGACTGATGAAGCCTATTTTCCATGCTGTGGCACTTCTAGGAGAGTACCAATTGAAGCAGCAAGGTGCCTCAGCTAACTGACACTTCATATTTCAAGGGAACAGTGGTACTACAATGCCATTTAGATATTCTGCTCCAGAAAAGGATTTCTCTGTGTTGGATGGAGTAAAACACAAAGTAAAGAGCTCGCCAAGAAATGTCAGCCCTGTTTCACAGGTGTGCATCACACTGGGGGGTTGTAGGAGCACTGGGCTGCTGCTTGCTCCCCCATTTTAAAAAGAAGAATCTTGGCTTAATGCACAAGGGACAAATATTGTCAACCTGTATATGGTCTTGGGCATCAGACAGATTTTCTTCCATGCTGCTGGCTCACTTACCTCCCCTGTGTGCTAGTAAAATTAAAATATTAATAGAGCTTTAAGTGCCTTTGGAAGAGGACTGACTACACCATCTTTTTCTTGATAACTGCACAAATCAGTCACTGGGAAAGTTAGAAGCACAGTAAATCTCTTTGTGCTTAATGTCCCTCATTGTTATACATCCTTGTTTCTAAATCCCTAGGATCTGAGCAACAGCAATAATTGCAGTGTGGAGCATAGCGTGTGACTCTGGAAAATGGGCAAAAGCACAGGCAGACTCCCAAAACCCAGCTCAGGGATCTGCCTTAAGATGCTGCATTTCACAGCTCATCCCTGAAATTGTGTTACTGCTTCAATGTGTCCCTTGCAATCTAATGCATTCCTGTACTCAGAGCCAGTGCTCTGGGAGACAAATATTCCCAGCAATTGCCCTTTATTTATTGCTTTATTTCTCCTGTGTGGGCATGGGCAGGAGAGCTGCAGCCAGGCATGGGCCACCCATAACACAGGGCCTGAAGCCAACCATTGCAGAACAGCAGCCTCATCACTTCTTGTTTGAGTTTAGGCCTAGAAAATGACTATTCCATTGAGAAAATGTGTAAGGGAGGAGGTGTAAAAAGGCAACCACAGAGGCATGCCAGATGCAGCCAAACAGCCACTGCACTATGGGAGGAAAGTGCTCTGAGTGGGAAAGTACACTGAGGAACTTGGGGAGAAGATGCAGTGTCTGGGGGCAAAGGGACAAGAAGATTTTAAAGATACCTAAAAATAACCTTTGTGAATCTAACCATTGGTCCAGCTCCTGTCTGTCCTGGTAGTGGCAACAGGAGAGGTTGTTTAAGGACAGCAGATGAGATCCTCTGCAGCTCCCTTCCCTGGTCACTCCCCTGCATTTAGTCACCGGATTAGGGAGGTCAGAAGGGACATTGTTGACCAGTCCTTTTACTTCTCCATCACACTAAAAGGTCATGAGGGGTGTAAAGACTAATGGGGGCCTGCAAGGGGGAGAGTGGATTGCAACAGCTGAGCTTTAAGTCGCAGGAAATCAGTCCTGTGAGGAGTTGATCCAGGAATCACTAAGGTGCTGGCTCAGTGTTAAGCACACAGTGCCCCAGGGTGGTCCCTCACCTGCAGGGTGTAGCTGATGGGCATCCGTGGTTGTTTTCCTGCTAATGGAGCATCAACACCAGCAGAGAGGAGACAGAGAACTGATTACAAAAGTACTCTTATACAGTTCTCCTCATTTAAGTAGAATCAGAAGGAGCAATGAAAGATGGTGATAATAGGCAAAAAATAAAAATGGAAAGAAAAACAAAACCCAGAGATTTTAGGGTGAAAAGAGATGAAAAAAATGAAGTGACTCCACAGGGCAGCTGGGTACAACTGGCTTTGCCCACCTGTGATTACCTTGGAGCCACCAGCTGAGAACACTGAGGTGAGGAGAGAGATGCATGAGCATCCATCACCATGGCCTCAGAGGAGCAACAGGCTGAGGCTCTTCAAACAAAACCCCAAGAGCAGTTCAGCAATGCTGCTGTCACAGCAAATTCATTTTCTGCAGAGGAGATGAAGGGAACATATACACTTATATACACTTGCAACCAAATC